TTACATTGGGAGCATGATCTTCGGGAATTGTGACGTATTGGTCTTACATTGGGAGCATGATCTTCGGGAATTGTGACGTATTGGTCTTACATTGGGAGCATGATCTTCGGGAATTGTGACGTATTGGTCTTACATTGGGAGCATGATCTTCGGGAATTGTGACGTATTGGTCTTACATTGAGATGGTTCTCCGGGGTTAAGAGTTTACTTGTAACTGGCTATATTTTTATGTTACCACACAAGCCACTGTACCCGTAGTAGGTACTATACCATGCAAAGAGGTATAATCCCAAGACAGCCATATCATCTGACTATGAGGGTTGCTCCTCTGTTTGCAATTCGGAACATCTCTATACTTATTGTAATACTCGGACTGTATCGTACACATGGTGTACCCAGTAAGGGTGACGCGTGCCGGTGTTAATGTAATCACTGCAGTTTACAGCTGTCGGGTTGATTAACTGGAGCGGATATTAGCGAAAATTAATCAAACCACCATAGTTTATTACACCGTACCAAATTAGATAATTTCACTAATATGCAAAAGGGAAGGCTCAAAATACCACTCAAACCATATTTGGTCTTCTGTTTGAAAACCGCCAAAATTAGATCTAGTTAAGATAGGTTAGGGTAAGGGCTTGTGATATGTTGCTGTTAATAATATTTAACGAATGTAACATTGATTTTGAGCCTCCAGTGTTTTAGATTGACGTCTGTATCAAGTATAAAGAGATAGTCTGTCCTTAACTGAGGGAGAAACTTGTATTTTGTTTTATATAAAACTTGAATCACGAGACTTTGCATTTTGATCTGAGACCCTTATATTAGCATCAACTGTTGTTGACTGGAGCGTAAAAAGCGTACAGACACTGACGTTCCAGGATCTTCTAAAAATACAGGAAGAATGCGCATCAACATGGATCTGCAAAGTAGGGAGACATGACGGTTTCTTCCTAAAGTGACTTGTATTTCTTGAGGACGACTCTTGAAAGAAACAAACATTCACACTCTAAATACCTGTTCAATAAATTGCTTGTTGCCTTTGGGGAAAGAAATGCCCTCCTGCCTATATATATCACCATTATCTTTTTTAATTATACGGCCCCTGTGAGCAATGTGACATTCCAAACGGGTAAGCGAGAGTATACGATATCTTCACACATTCGAAATACCCCTGGATGACGAGATCTTACGATGCTGATTACATCAGCTGACGGCCTGGCAGTATTTAATCCCATAGAAATGGTTTGCAATCACTCCGCGTATAATTGGTCTCCTGTAACGGCGTTATGATCCGGTTTCAGGCCGATTCTTTAATTATTGTCTTCGCTACCAGTGATTTTCCTATAATGGCGGATGTTTTTGTAGCCCGAAACGACGAAACTGAGTTGTAAACAGCACTCCTGTGTTCAAGTGTTAAAATGCCTGTGATTCGGACTTTGATTTCTCTTCCGATGAAGTATCGATCGTCTGAGAATGTTTGTATCATAGTTTCGTACAACTCAGGGTTCATTTTCTTAAAGGTGCAATTCAGAATAAAATTTGCATTTCTTATTTTTCTTTTCATACCAATATAATTAAAGTATTTATAGCATTTCCTGTCTTCAATTTCCTGCACAGTTCTTCCCGACATATAACGGCATGGTAACTTTGAAATTAAAATCACATTTTCCCTCAATCCTTGCATTTTTACAATTACTCTTAGACGCAGGCAATGTATTGTATATAGCAACGAACTAAAAATAAAACAGGTGTCCATTTGTCCTGACACAACAGCAGTTGCTAGAAGAAGATAAGACAAAAAAAATAATTGCTAAAACACTCAGAGTTAATACGTAATGTAAAAGAAATGTTCGTGGCCCTTGTAACATTTTAATACATTTACTAGTTCTTGAGTGGTTTGTTTAATGTTTTGGCTTTAAAAAAATATATTTTTAGAATGCATAAACCTACAGAAGTGCCAACAAATATGTGAATCAACATTCATTAATGTAAGCAACGTATAACTAAACCTTCAGCTATGTTAACAAATATATATCGGCTATTGAAAGTATTTATATAAATGTACGTGCATGATGAACGTTGAACTCATCTTATTTATTATGTTGATGTTGACTTTGCACACCGTGTGTCGAACAAGTTCGATAACTCGCGATGGTTTTACAGTAGCACGTCCGTTCAGGGGCGATAACTCTCAATGAATGTCACAAGTCTGAGCAGGGTCGATTAGTTTCGAATGCGATCGAATCGTACAAAATGTATTCAGACATGAGGAAGGTACACGGATATCGCTGTATAATGTTTCGTATCCCATATACAGGATACCTTACCTTACAGATAGGTATTGTCATATGAGGAGAAATCGATACGGTCAAGTGTGACCATAGACTAACGATCTATAAATAATTCATGTCATTATTCATGGTCTTTAATTAATTATGTATAAATATGGAGCTATTCCAGCCCGTACACCTTGGCAATTGTAGCTCGCACATGTATAACATGTGTACAGGTAAAATCAACAGTGTTCCTTCAACTTGATGTCATTAATTGAACCAAGAGCCTCCGTACTAGCAGAATTAGACGCGTAGCAAAATAATGGTTTGTTAATGTGTAAACCCGGACTATTTATGTGGGTACTCATCGCGCCTCAGCTGCGAACTTCGCCAGCCTAACCCATGAAACATTTAAGGTCACGGACCCGGGGGAAATGAAATCTAGAAGCTTTTTGGTTTTCTCTGATAGATTTCAAAGTAATCAAAGCTTTTTGAGCAAACTTCATTGTTAAGTAGTTTATATATTTTTTACTGAAAAACAATCAGGATGTCCTGTAATGCGAGTAGTAACAAGCCAATGTTTTTGTTCTGTGAATTGTTTTAAAGTATTCTATTTATGAACATTATAATATTATTGTAGTGATTAGAACAGTCTTTCAAAACATTAAATCGTCAAAGTTATGTGAACCATTAGCTAATTTGCTCCGTGTAGTTTGTTGTACGCCTGAGTGTTACTATATCAATAAACTGATATTTTGAGGTACGTCACGATACTATTTATCAATACTGTGGTAATATAAGGTACCAAGATTAACGGTTTCGTTGTTCTATAATATCTTTAGTTTGGATGTTATGATAATTACACACTAATATAATTCCACGTTCTTTCTCTATGTGAACCAAAACGGTTATTTATAATATTCAATCTGAAGCGAAACAAATATTGATCAAAACTCATGCTTCCAAATTAATGCAAAATCCATCATCGATCTAATGAGAGGCTGAGTATAAAACGAGAGAAAACAGAAGACCGACAGAAGGCATTAGTAAGAGAGAAACCTGCGCCGTTCGGAATCCCCCTGAGCTACAGGCGAAGATTGATAGTGAACTCGGGATGTAATATCTCTTGTCAACGTTGTTTAATTAAAGAATTCGCGTCGCCCTTTCTCTTACAACATGTCACCTCGTGGAAATGTGTATTAAGATACACGAGGACAGCTTTCCAGCAGCTGAAACCAGTATCACGTGACATAGCTCACCCAATGACGGATCGGTAGAACTGCTCTCGGCAGTTTGTTTTTCTTGCTCTCGGTCGATGTAAGCATATCAAATGGAGACATTTTTACACGTATTTGGAAAAAATGAGTTTATTTTTTCACGAGAGGGATGTGCTAAGACGCAAAGCAATGGATGGGGTTGACTTTTTACGGGGGAAAGCTGATAACTGGTATACCGTAGGGAAGGTGTTAATGGACAGCTGTGTTGTAGGGTAGCCTTTAACTACATATTTATTACATACAATAGCAGACTGTCTTTGTAGGAAACGTAAACACATGAAGACCGTCTGAAAATGACACAGAATGTACCCAAAGGCAATGTGTTCAAATTATGACAAATTCTCGTTAGATGGAGTGTCGTGCGATTTCGATAAGGACATCTTGTGTGTGTAAGAGCGGTAAAAGGCCCGAGGTAGTACGAATGCCAAATGAATATCGGCTTCAACCAAAGTCGCGTCTTTAATAGTAAACATGGTCCAAAGACAAGCAGAAGTCAACCTATTGAAGTGTATATATCTTAAGGCAAAAACTCAAACGCTTCACAAATTAATACCGTGTAAATTGGTTTGAGAGGTACGGTAGATCGGCCTCTAAGCTATTAGTTTATATATCAACAGTTCAGTTGTACCTTTAATGGGATATACAAACACAAATCGTTAATCAAGTTTTCCGTAATTGTCTGTTCTTCATTTGTAGTTAGTCATTCCCGATACGGGTTCAATAGTTTATAAGCTCGCTAACGTTTGAGGAAGTGACCGATACACACAGAAGAACCTTTAAATAATGTACCCTGTAAAATAGGGAAACTGCAATTCATTTTTCCATGTAAATTAACGTTGTGTAAAACAAATATTCTGAGGAAGACGTCATGTCGTTATGTCGTAATGGTGATCAGAGTACAAGTGGAAAGGTTATTTTTCACCCACAAACAATCTCTGTTAAACTCATTTGTTCTTACTTCTGTTGTTGTCTTCTAATGAGAATCAAACTAAGGAATGGTACGTACGTGTAATTGTACAGTTTACACTCGACGTACATTCCTCACCTCATTTGTATATATAGTTTTTAAATTCCTGCTCTGTAAAATAACTTTGCAAGATGTGCGTGCAATCCTGCATGTGTCCTTTGTTGTTGGTATGACTGTCTAATTATATACGATATAATCTTCCGTGGCTGCTACACATGGTTGAGCAGGTAAATATATATACATGCACATGCTGTGTAGCTTCGGTTCAGTGACCAGCCTATACAATTATATCAATACTGCTGATAGTGTTACAAAAGTCCTCTATGAAACTGTCATTTCTTAATAATTCATTTGAAATGTCTTCATTATCGACCACAAAGTGGTGAGAGAATACCCTATACCCCGTGCACTGTGTGTACATAGGCAACACCGTCGGCTTCAGCCTCGCTATCGACGCCTGTTACAGCAGCTGAGCAGTGGCGCGAACAGACGCGGGAATGAAACTGACATCTACTCACACACATAAATGACAGGAGGTTCATTCGCCATTTCATCGACGGATATGATTAGATTCTCGGCGTGGTGTTTGTATACCATACTCCATAGCGGATGAGGACACTGACTGTGATAATTGCACCACACCGCTTCCCATTGTATCAATTTGTTGTATTTCCGTGAACACATCCGATATTTCTCAAGCTCTTTCCAATAATCTCGGGTATCGTTGGGTTGTGTCCCTAGGATTATCTCCCCTGTCGGTTAGGTAACACTATCATCTCCCCGGGACACAGTGGTAGCCTCGCGATCATTATCGATCAGTTCGAGGACGTGCTAGTCTGACGATAAAGAGTGGGCTTAGCGCCGGAGATTATGGTCGAATCCAGAAGTTGATATGACAATGGAAATAGACCCGAGCACTTGACACTTGTGCTAGAGGGCGTTAGACCTGTATACCTGTACGACCTGACTGACAAACAGGTGCTTCACCAACATAACTCTTAAAACAGGGTTTTAAAACAGAGCTTTAATTTACTTCTGATCACGATTTTCTGAAACCAAACATTGATTCGACGTTAAAGGGATTGTATAAGAAAAAAAGTCTTTCTGGAGTAGGCCTGAAACTCAACACTTTTAGCGTGGTATTGACAGAAATGGAGAACGGGTCTTCGATTTAATGGAATACAAACCTGTCTCATCTGCAGGCGTAAGACAGTATTGAAAGAAACAATACAGACGCTGAGTGTTATCTGAAGCCGAGTATTGTGTATGCACAGGTGTTCCTCAATCGGCTGTACATATTGGACTAACCTCAGCATAAATCAGCAGAATTGTTTTAGACGTGTTGTGAAATAGCAGGACGTGCTACATGTGATTTTTCCCGGAAATACGAAAACTTTTTTTCTATTACTCACCTTTTGATGAGCTTTATGGAATTTTAACGGAAAGACGTGACAGTGCGTTTCTTTTAATATAAACTTCCAAGATGATAGCGGTTATATGTGTGATGCTACTGTTCTCGGATCTGGTAAGTACCCCAAATCCTTGTATTGCATTGTTTCTGGGTAAGTACCCTAAAGTCTGTTTCTGGGTAAGTACCCTAAAGTCTTTGATAACACTGTTTCTGGTTAAGTCCCCTCAAACATTATTAAGCACAAACTGTAGTCCTCAATTCCGCATTTTTCTCATGAATTGATTTTTCGCCATTTTGTGTATGAAACGTGTTATAATAATGCCTGAAATGAACTGTTATCAGATTTCAATATCCTGTGATAGTGACATTATCTTCACTTCGCAAAATCATCAGATTAGTATCGGCGTGACCGTCACTGTGTAGAAACAAAAGATGAAGAAGTGATTTAAGATGAAGGGCTGGCTTTATAGTAAAACAAAAAGAGAAAGAAGATAAAGGTCTGGTCTTATGGTAAAACAAAAGATGAAGGAGCGATTGGTTTAACAGAGCTACCCAGTTTTTTAAGGCGTTATGTGTATATCTGTAGTATATAACGGTATAAACTCTGTGTTAACGTGTGTAAACATCACAAACCTCCGTGACCCCATCAATCAACCGACCGCTGTACACATTATAGTGTGATACATATGTATTATTACACTGCCCCAACCGTCCAACCACCGTGCTTGCTGATGTAATAGTTTCGTTTCATTTTGTTTACCAACTTTAACCGACCACTTTATTAAATTGTAGTATGATGTCACTATGATGTCACCAAATGTCCGCTACCAGTTTGTTTTTGTCAAAAATACAGCGCCATCTATAGTATTTGTTTAAGATATGGTATAAAACGTATGCACTTATTAGTGGGAATCTATACTAGCTACGTTACAATATTATGCACACACATATACAAACAGGGTAATGGATCTAATGTATTCTCTTTCAAATGATCTATTTACAATTGCGTTCTTGTTGACCTAGGTGTAATTGAAGAAGTACAGTAATTGTCTATTAACCAGACATTAGATGACATGTGTTCAATGGCTATAAATCATTCTAGATCGAGTTGACCACAGAGACATTAAGCTGACCAAATCTGTCCATGTTAACACGTGGAGCTATTGTACAAGTCACAATGCTACGTAAGTGTACACGACGGGGTATGTTAGGCGCAGGTACCATTGCAATCATAATAGCGGAGAACTCCAACAAAGGGAGTGAATTCATGCTTGACGGCCGATATCTTTTTTGCATTATTGATGATTTATAAGATGTGAAGTCAGTTGATCAATAACTATTTAATCAAATTTGACACTTTAATCAATCATAATTATTAAATTATGCTCCTTATTAAAATTTAAACGCCCATGTATGTTATGAGGTAATCACATGTATATTTATCGCTAGTAATATTTTGATAAAATCGAATGTAATAAACTGTAAACAACAGACGGCGTCGTCCAAAACGTTCGCGCATTATAATAAAAAGATTGATGCTTATCGATTTATCAAGATTGATCTCAATACAACATACCTTTTGTCAATTAATTTCTAGTCTACGTTTGAATTATAAACAAACCGTGGACACATCAGAAATAAAACTTCATTTCAACAATATTCGCTTTATGTCTCCATATCTTAAATAAAAGGATATCACAGGTACCCGTAAAGGCTCGCTCTAGGACTCGATAACTTTTTAACTTTACATCGTTTTACTAGGACTTGTAAGCTTTGATAAGCTTACATTAGTGGGCACCTGTATAAGTAAGGTAACACCACGGGTACCTGTTATCACAGACAGATTAATCAATGTTAAGTCCTGGTGGGTATACATGTGATCTAACCCACGGTGATATTATGTAAAGTTAATCCCAATACAAAGTAAGGGTTGTAGATATAAATAGGATCATAGCTACTGTAAACAAACGGATATATTAACTTTATTTTATGTAACAACAATTATGAAACAAGTTATTTCAACTGATACTAATCTGAAACAAACGAATACTTAACAAATTAAACAGGATTCTGTAATACTCGCCAATTTGTACGTCGTTATACTACAGCGCACGTGATTACATTCCAATGCATGATGTCATTATCAAACGTTCGTTCCTAACCCTCTTATTTTAGGCGTATATCTGTCGCAGGGATTATTGTTTGTGTTACTGTTTCGTAATTGTTTCTCGTAGACTATATTGAAAAAAGAATTGTTTTTAACCTAATCAATGTGCAGAATATAGGATCTGCGGCCTATCAGTTCACTGCTTCAGATAAAAAAAAAAAAAACACCACTTTATTCAATAATCAAACACAACTATAGCATACGCAAATTTCAGAGGTCGGTAATAAAAGCTTAGAGCTTTAATATTTGTTTCTTAAAAGATTAATGTTAATATTGATGCATCGTGTGCCTTATCCTGTATGATATTCAAGTTCCATAGTCAAGACAATAGGAGGCCTAGCAGGTACAAGGTGAGATGCAGATTCAAACAAACCCGTTGTGACGTTTACCCTGGAGAATGACACGCCTGGATCTGATAACCCCAGCACCATTTAATATAAGCTGAGAGACTATGGTGATGTAATAACGTTTGATTGATTTATGTCCGGGAAATCCAATCGTAGGTGATAGCTAGCAAGTTACCTGGGAGAACACCACAAAGACGTGACTGTACATAAAACAAACAGGAAATGTCCACAGTATTGACTTAATCAAATATAAAACACAGTAAAATGTCAAATGATAGAATGGACAAGTTCAGGCGAGTAGCTGGACACCAGCCTACATGGAAACCTATCCGAACGCCTTCCCGAGTGGAGTGAGGCTACAATGTTTTGAAAGATACTTTTAAGTCAAAACAATCATTTTATTTGATTATTTGATATAAAAAAAAAAGAAAAAACTTGCAGTAAAGCAGGTGTACCTCGCCTTTGTACATTATAATGCAAATTAAATAAATTGGTTTAAAGCCGATAAATCGCAAATATAATCTCGAAATTTCCTTCTTTGTAATGTGTATTATTTGGGCACGCCATTTCTTTTGACAATGTAGCATACTTGCCAAGTACGTCCCTATGAAATAGCTCAATAATGTGTACATGCATTTAGATATAAGGTATACCGTCTTAGAATTTTGGTTTGTCTCTGCTTTACGTCATATTAAAAGCTAAGATATCGTCATCGAAATTCTTAGTAAATGTCTAAATATATTTATAAACTTAAATAAAACAAAACACAGTAGACTTAATATCGCTAGCACTTTCGCCAATCTTGGGGCAGGCTCTTCGGGCGATTTCTACTTATATGTATATGCATTGTATACATTTCTTGTAAAGCGAGAGATAACCTGATTAAAAACCCAGTACTGTGCAAGTTTGTTCAGTACATTGTCATGACACCTTTACGTCAAACATTCAAATTGATCAAATTGTTGCCATGAAACTTGATGACGTAGACTATTGCCCCTGACACTAATATCCTCAACTGTTTGACTTCAAGTACCAAACTAGTGCTGATGAGTCCTCATTGAAGGCGATTTTATTTATATACATATATATATGTAACAAAATTTCCAAATAGATGTTGCATTCCTGCGTATTTCGAGTGATAATTGTACGTGTCTTGGGTACCCCTTGTCCGTTTACTGAAGGTGTCAAATACAGCGTTGGATAGCCACTGTTACATTACCAAAGTACCACAGAATTCCCCACGGCAGCCTCTGTCGTTACTGTCTGAAACGTTCCACTGGTACGTATCAGACTGCCGGACGTCCCATACATCTTTGTCCACATTAGGGGAACGAGAGTGCAGTGCCAAGAAAGATAAACAGTAATTGTGTATCAGATATGATCCGAAACCATATGATTGAGGTTATAAACACACCACTCACCGTCTATAATGATCCGGAACCATATGAGTATGGTTATAAAATACACACCACACCGTCTGACAATTCATCCACACAGGAAATTGCCAGAACAACCTCAATATTCTCGGGAATTTTCTCTCTGATTCTTTAAAACTTGATCAGGGGTTTGGCAGAAGCTCTCGTAAACTGTATAGAAAATGATAAATATTTTGTATTTCAGTGATTAATGTAGGGGTTACAAATAAGCAAAAGGTATTCCGAAAGTTTAATTTATGGTTTTCCGAAAGATTTACGTGTATTGATACACTATGTAATAACGTCTTCGATCAGAATATGTGACCTTTTATGATAGCGCATATTCTTCGCATTTTTTTCAGAACTAAAACTCTGATATAACTTCAATGTAACAGAGATATTTGACAGAAGTTCCACGAGAGGTTGACGATTTCTTTGTACTTGTAGACCAATATGATTGTATCCTGTAAATCTCAATAACAATAATAACACATCGTTACTAATAATGACCTTTTCATCAAAAATGAAATTTCAAAAAGTACCAATAAGTATTTTATTTAATGTTGAGCATTAGGGTGAATATATTTCTCTTCAAAGCTTCTTAAAACTCATAAAGTCTTTATATATAGATTATATTTCGTTTTATCTCCGAACTTTCCCCGGAAGACCTCCGAGATATATTTTATTAGAGAGGAGATTTGGAGATAACCGAATCGATTTCATAACTTTATGGTACAGTATACAATTCACGCGAAACACGTGTTACATGAGGTGCAAACATAACGGGGAGTTATCGGTCTTATAGGCGTAAGGATTCGATCTACCGCAGATTAAAGTCCAGCTGTGACTATCACTGCTAACAACGTATCATCACCGTGTGTACTTATCTTCTACAATCAATACACAATACACAAGTTTATGAGTTTGAACCTGTCCCCCTAAGTCACGTGTATGTTTGTGTTTAGTAGAACTTCGGCAGTCCGACACTAACCATGTTCACGTCAATTACAGGACAACGTCCGGATCACGTGTTGTCCTTATTATCAACCCTCAGTTGTATATATGTATATTGTAGATTACATGACATCTATAGCGTTCTTATCAAGTTACTTTTTAATAAGTATAGCCACTGTAACTTTACAGTATACAAATATGGAAAGTTGATGACTTCACATGGTAAATACT